GCTGCAGCTTCCTCGGCCCGAGGACGCGGGCAGCGGTGAGGCAGGTGCGCCGGAACGGCTGCTGGGGTCCTTGGGATGGTTGAATAAAATGACCCCCTCCAGGGAATCCCCAGCTGACACTTACGTAAGGGACGTGCGCAATTGCTGCCCTCAGCCACGGAAACCCTTCTACTCGTGCTACGCAATTTGCCTACCCTTGCCTTGGCTGCTCCCGCCGCTAGAGTACACATAGGCTGAAACTGACTCACTCACCTCTGCCAAGGACTGGTGGGAGGGAGACCCCTAGTTTTTGAGTCATTCGAGGACTGTTGACGACTCTCCCGGAACGATCGAGCTTGCGTTTTTATCGGGCGCCGGTCACTTACGGTGCCGGGTGGATGTTGAGCATTTCTGCAGGTATTCTTAAATTAAAAAGCAGAGATCCCTCCGCCTGGATACTGTCGCTGGAAGCAGAAGGCTCTTCTGGCGAAATTTCTGCAACGTTTCACGTAGAAATTATACAAGAGCTCAGAGCATTTTTAAAAAGCTGATACGTGATCCCAAACGGGGATTTCGCTACATTGATGAATATCACGTCGAAGGCAGGTCTTACCAAGCATCTTGTTACATCTCTCTTTCTCGTTTTCAATATGAAACTGCAATCCAGCTGAAATTCATAGTTTCTGACTTTAATGTCCTGGAGTAATGCAATCTGTAGTTTAAAGGGAATATTGGTATTTTTTTCAGGCTCTCTGGAGACCACAAACTATAATCAGTTTTTAAACCAAAGTGTAATTAACAAGGTGTCAAAGTAATAGCACAGTGATGGACGGCTGAGTTGTCAGTCTACTGCAGGAGAGAAAAAAAGTGTTCCAGTTTCAAATATCCACCTACAGTTTTGTTTAATCTGAATACATCCTCATCCATATTACCATAAATAAATTAAAATGTAAATAAAAATTTAGCAAGCAGCCTTGTAGAATGCAATCATTTTATGGGCCTATCTCCTTTAAATAGGAAGATTCATAATATTAAAGTATGCATTGTTGTAATTTGAATTCTCAAGCTAGCAAACTGTTTATCTGAAAATCACATTTATTCTATGACTGAGGTCTCTTTTAATGTATGTCTTCTGCTCTAAAAGAACAAAAAATGTCCTTCAATTCCATACATACAGGTTAAGAATTCTAATTTGAGCCACTATTGTGATTTGATTTTTCCCTTTTCTTCTTATCCATATTCCCCTTCAGATCATCAGTTATACCAATCTTATGTATTGCCACAATGAATTAAGTGAAGTTACTGAAACTTAATCCTAGGCAACTGCTTATAAGATTAAAACTTTGGAAAGAAGAGCAGGAAGGTCATGTAAACCAGTCACTTAGCATTCATTTTGAAAAACAAATCCCCTCCCACATAATCACACATTATATTATAGATGCTATAAGTCAAAGGTGGGGAACCTGTAGCCCTCTAAAAGTTGCTGAGTCCAAGCCAACATGGCCAATAGCAAGGGATGCTAGGAGATGTGGTTTAGCAACATCTAAAGAGAGAGAGAGAGTACATGCATTGAACTCCCTCCCCGCCATAATTCCTCTGGCACTTATCTTTTATGGCCCTTAAATCTCTCTTCTGCTTATACAGAACATGATTAGGTATGCAACATTCAAGATGCACAACATGTTTTGGATTAAGAAACCTTGAGCTTTGACTATAATTTTTACCAACAATATCTGCATAATTACTGGACACTCCCCACACATATACACATATACGCAATATAATTTAAGTATCATTTATAGCATGAATTACCTCAACAAATACTTTATCACTGTCTAGGTGATTAGTAGTCTAGGATTTGATCATTAAGGCTGCATTCTATAGTGTTCTACGGTATTTCAAGCATTCAGAGTGTTTCAGATTTTTATTTTAGCCTTCTAACATCTCTGTTTGGTAAAATAATTTGATTATCTCTCCCACTTCCCAGTGCAGATAGGCAGAGCTGTAGAACAGAAATTTTCTTAAGATGAATTAACATTCACTGCTGGGATGAGATTTAAATTGGTAGGGTTCATCATTATGCTCTATTTGCCACATGTGCTTGTGTTAATATATAGGCAATTTCTAAATACATCATATTTTGTCATTATTTTTAATAATGAAATGTATTTTAGTGAGTCTCAAGAAATCACATGTGTTTTATTAAACTTTTTAATATCTCCTTTTGAATCACCTTAAATTCTAGGAGTCAGAACTCTCCTACAATTACTTCAGATGGTGTGTGAAAATAGATAAGCACATGCATTATAAATAACTTCACTAAAAATTCACCTTCTTAAAAGTCTATTAGAGGTGGGTGGTTTTTTTTTTTACTATTTAAACAAATAGGGCAGATATATTTATACAAAAACACCTAGCCCTCCTTGTCTCCTCCTATTCTTTTCTCTTTCAGTAAACCTGAAAAGTACTCCATCTGTTTAAAGTTTGGGAAGAATGGAACATTTCCTCTGCCCCTAACCCTGGAACAACCGGTAGTAGCCCTGCCTCCCTCTCCTGCCTTTTCTCTTTCCGCCCGGCTTTGTGTGAAGTTTGCGGCACATTGCAGATGAGCCCTTAGCCGCGAGAGAAGCCTATTGTTCCCCGCCAGGAACTGCTCGTTGGCAGGCCTGGCTTTTGCCATTTCAGAGCTGCCTTTTGCAGTGCCGCGGCTGACCGCTGGGGTTCGCTGTGTTGCGCTCTCGCCCAGGCAGCAGCACGGCTGCCTCAGATCTTTTTGTCTGAAGAGAGAAGTGAATCTTGCTGCTGCCGCCGCCGCCGCTGTACAGTGTGTATATATGTGCGCGCGCGCGCGCGAGTGTATGTGAGAGAGCGAGGGAGAGGGGAGATTTCATGGATTCGCGTCTGTAATACACATACACTGTCAGTACCTCACTCCAGCCTCCCCAACCCCCACCCTACCACAACACTAACCCAATTCATTGTGTGATCCAGCAGCACCATGTTGAGTCTCATGTGCAGGCTGGCTTGGTTGGGCTTGTGGTGCTGAGAGCGGCAGGCAGGCAGGCAGGCAGGCGGCGGCGGCGGCGGCAGCAGCAAGAATTACCGAGAGGTGCCCCTCTCCCTCCCTGTGCGTTGTGTGGAGACAGGACTCGCAATTACCACTCTCCGGCTTCTCTTATTCCTTTTAAACTTTTCTTTCTTTCTTTCTTTTTTTAAACAAGCCCCTCTCCATGGCTGATCCCCGGCCGAGTACAGGAACCTGGATCTCTTAAAGGCAAGGAGGAGCCGCGGATTGTTGTTGTTTTTCTATTGGATTTTTTTAAGGAGACAAAACCCAAACCTTTTAAATCCGAGGGGGGAAAATGGCAAACTCGGCCGGTAAAAACCAACCAGACCATCGGAGAAAAGGACTCGCTTTTCTGGACGAGCTGCGGCAGTTTCACCACAGCAGAGGGTAAGGAAAATGGGGAGATGGAAGGGGATGGTGGTGGGGGAGGTTGTTTAAACCGACCGATTTTTAACTTCCAGCCCCTGCCCTGAAGGACGAGGCGGCCCCCTGCGAGGGGAGAAAAGGGGGGCAGAGTTGACAAGTTGTTTGTCTCTCTCTCTCCCTCTCTTTTGCCAGGTCTCCTTTTAAGAAGATCCCTGTGGTGGGTGGAAAGGAGCTGGATCTTCACGCTCTCTACACCCGAGTCACCACTTTAGGCGGATTTGGGAAGGTGAGTGGAAGTTTTTCTTCGGCTTTCCCTCCCACTAACCTCCCCTCGAAACTCTCTTCCGACCCTGGGGGAAAGGCGGTCGGCGGGGGGGGGGGTCGGGACCGGGCGTTTTTCAAGCCGGCTTGGGAAGGAGGGAAGTGGAAGAGGGAAGCAGGCAAGGTAGGTTGGCGGCTCGGCCTTGTTAGTGAAGAGCCGAAAAGGGGGGGGATTCGGGGGTGCCGAAGGCAGCTTCTTGTGTCCCCTTTCCCTCTGCCCTCGATTTTTGGCTCGTTCCCTCCTTTTCTGGGGAGAAGGCGAGTGGAGGAGGTTGTGTTTGGAGGCAGTTTCTTCCGCTTGTGTGTGTGTGTGCGCCTCGCGCACAGAGTCTGAGTGCAGTTTTAGTGGAACTCAAAATTAGCGGGCATGTTTAACATCGATAATCGGCACGGAGCATGGGCTAGGAAATGATCCTCGCTGCCGTGGGGGGGCCCTGGCGCTGCCCTCCGAGCCCCTTCCGGGGAGAAATAACAAAAGGGGCAGCCAAGACGATGTGTAATCAAATAGCCATCTTTAGGCTTCAAGACTAGGGACAGAAATGTAGGCCTCAAAAGAAAGGCCTCTCTGTATCTGTGGAGCTTGCGGAGGGGGGAGACTCAGCGGGACGGTTCTCCTGCACCCTCAGCCGGTGGGGGCGGCCCCCACCGAGACTTCCTTGGCTCATTTTCAACTTCTTTGGGTTTTAACGGACCGCGGGAGGATTTAAAAGCAGGCAACAGAGGAACTCCCGATTGGTTATTGTCCAGGCAGCGAAGACAAAAACAAACCTCTCCACAGAATAAAATCCGTTCACCTTCTCACTCCCCTATAAAAGAAATGTAAAACACAAGGGGAGGAGCAATATTGTATCGCCGGTGACTGTCAGTAAGAATAGAAATTCCAGATCCTATCAATTTTTTTTAATCTTTATCATATTTGTTTGTTTCATGGCAGCCCTTTTGATGGTGGCAATCAACGACGTTGTGTGTGTCTGTGTGTGGATTTGTGCATCTCCGTGTGTTGTTTTTGACAGGTATCTGAGAAGAATCAGTGGGGAGAAATAGTGGAAGCATTTAACTTTCCCAGAAGTTGTTCTAACGCTGCCTTCGCTTTAAAACAGTATTACTTGCGGTAAGTGCCATCAGGTCTCTTGAAGCAGTGGTATTAAGCATTGAATAGCATTTCAGTTTGTGTGGATGGTAAAAAATAAATAATATCTTCACTTTCTAAGACATATTAAAATTGTGTTCTCTCTCTTGCCAGCTGAAAGTATTTTGCTTATGACTGAAATTTTTGAATTGTGTTTTATTTTATTTCTACCAGCATTAAACTTCAGGTGTACAAATTTTATTTCTACCAGCATTAAACTTCAGGTGTACAAATTGTTGTAAGAAGCTTTTCATTAATAACTTATTATTATAAGAATTGCTCTTCTAGAAAAATATAAAGTAGTTTCAAAAACTTCGTTTTAATTTCATAATAAGGAAATGACATTCTTACCTCTTTGGAGGCACAGTGTGACATATTACACATTTTAAAGACTGCATGTACACATTCATTGTTATCAAGAGTATTGCTGCTCAAGTGTTAGTTTAGTTGCATATAAATATAGAATTCGGTCTGCTTTTTAAAACATGATTTCTAAAATGATTTTTTAAATAATCAGTTGCAATCCTAATCCATTGGTTTCCTATGTATCCTTCTTGAGAGGCTTCATATTTTTAAAATAATTGTAAGAATTGTCATCATGGTGATTTCCTTCTGTTTTTTTAAACAGTGAAAATATATTTAGAAATGATACAGTAGTCTATATTGGAAGATGTGTTACTATCCTTTTGTTTAGAAATCCAGTTTTGTGAATTGTGGACATTGTTTTCAAAAAGTAAGTCTAAAGTTTTGGAGGGTTGTAACATAAATATGAGAAGTTATCCCCCATCCCCCATCAATTTAGATAGGAACTGCTCTCTTTTATGATATGCGTGTTCTAATAATTTAAAATCAGTCTGTTGAAAAATTAGCATTCGTATTGAGAAAATGCAGTTTCATGGGTGTAATTATTATTGGTTGTCCTAAATTGACTTCCAGTTGGAAGCTGC